AGAATGCTGGAATGAGGAAAGAATCAGCTTTGTTGATAAGAAAATTGCAAATTAATGAGGACTATGGTATTATTATATCAAAAGTTCGTAAAATTGTCAAGCTGTTTAGAAAATTACTATTTAAAATGATTCCTTATAAAACAGATCAGATTTAGGAAAAGAGCTTAGGCCTGGATTCTAGATTCTATATATTCTAGATACAAATAAAATTTTATTCTGGATACAAAAACAATAGTAGGAATTCTCTAATCGGTATGTTAAAACGATTTTCAGAATTAATGTCATTGGAAATAAAGTCATTGGAAAAGCTCTTGTAGATATATTCAGAACAGATTTGGTTTTATGAGAAGAAGAAATAAAACACATTTCTGATATTGTTCCAACTCTTCATGTTGTAGAGTTAAGTGTTATGGCGGGAAAAAATGAAATGGAGACTGTGATCTAATAAAATAAAGTTGTTTTAATTTTACTACAAAATCATAGAGAACAAAAAACAATGGTCAAAAATAATTAAATGTAGTCTTTGAGAGAATTACTAAACGAAGAAAATATGTTATTGCTGGTTTATTACGCTATTTTCATAATCCAGATGGCTTTAAATTAGATTTAAGCTTTAATAAGAATGAAATTGCTAAATTAGCTCGAGATGTTTTTGTACGTTTGTTTCTACATGAAGAAGTAGAAGCAGCACCTGAGTCTGATATTAAATCTACTTGTAATGTAGAACCAATAAAAAAAAAACTAAAGCTGAAGAATCAGCAGAAATGATATCATACATATATATGTATATAACTTCGACAGCAGAAAGAAATAAAGGGCTAACTAGTAAGTCATCCTTTCCAAAGGTTTTGACTTGTATTACGAGAAATAGCAGGACTTGAAAGCACTGCAATAAGGCCCAAATCCTTAGAAAAAGTTTACAACGCCATATTTAGCCTTCCACCATCTTCTGTAGAAGCAGAAAGACGTTTTAGTGTTGCAGGTTAATTTATTACCAGTTAAGAACTAGTTTAAATGATGACACTGTTAATAACTTATGTTTTTTAAAATTATATCTGATTAAAAAAAAAAATCATAAGAGGTTGTATTTACTTTTTTTAAATTGTATGAATTTATTTGTAAGAAATAAGTTAGTTGTTAATTGATTAATTTGAAATACCAATTAATCTACCACCCCTAACTAGCATAATATCGGGTGGACACGGAAAAATCTGGTCAACTTTAAATTGTGATTTTTCTACAACCATAAATGCTTTTTATTTCATTTTTTAACTTAAATTTAATGAGCTAGATGTAAGTACCGACGCTACCGCAATGCAATTATGTGGTTATGCAGTAAATTTCGATAGCGATTTTTAGAAAAGGAATCGCTATCGAAAAGAAATTATTTAGTTAAATAATTGCGAAGCGATTTTTTCGATTACGATTAGTCTCTAACTAATCGAAATGCGACTTTTTTCGGATTACGAGCGCAAAAATCGCAGCGATTACGATTAAATTGCGTTTTTATCGTTATTCTCGTTACATACCGCAATTTTATCAAAATATCGCTATTTGTTGCAAAGATCGCAATTATTGTCTAATATTTTCATAAACTCTAGAAATCGAATTTAGCAATTAAATGTTACACTTATTGTTATTCTCGCAACTAATAGAAAACTGGTAAAAAAATCCAAGTTACTAATTCAAAAAAAGTAAGAACAGGACTTTGTTTCAAAAAAAAAATAAAAAAAAATTATTTTAATATATTTTACGAAAAGGAAGATGTCTGTGATCTAGATTTTCTATTCTTTATCTTTTATATCCTTTAAAACTAATAAAAAGTTAACAGTTGCTTATTGGTTTTACCACATTCAATTTAAGTATTGCAAATAGGAATAACTCTTCCCATTAACTACCATTTATCAGCATTACTAATTACTATTACAAAAACTATTTGCCGTAAATCCGACAAATCGCAAAAAACCGCAAAAATAACGGAAATTTATTTTTTAAAATCGCTGATGCGATTTAAAATAAAAAAATTCCACTATTTTTTTGTGCTAAACGCCTATGAGGTAACGTCAGTGCTTAGCTAGATGGGCTATTTGGCAAAAAGATTTTATAGCGGGTCGAAATATTTTCTTTTTCACCTTATTGGTTGCATTAATCCACTTTTTTTGAAGTCTTTTTTTATTTTTGTTGCGCAGCCTTACGAAGATCTCTATTAACTATTACCCAAAAATATTCAATCTTGCGTTCTTCGAGACAATTTGGAGAGCTTGCATCTTTATGAACTATTTTCACATTATTATCTTTGAACCATTGGAGAAACTTTTTAGAATAGTGAGAAGCAGCAATATCATGCCAAAAGAGGAATCAATATTTGTTTTTTTTTTCATCAAAAGTCTTTTTAGACGGCATTCTTTGATGTAGAGATCGACAGCCAAATTTCTTAGTGACAAAACAAGAGGACTGCATACCACAGCTACAAAATGCTTGCCACATAAGGAACTTGGATGCAAATTTTTCTCGACAAATATATTTAAATTGATCACTGACAGGATTATCTTTACTCTCATTTTAAAATAGTTGACCAGGAAAAATCCGTCTTGCAATATGTTTCGTCGTCTTCAATTATGCTCATACTTTTATCCGCCATCATTTTAAGCAACTTCTTTTGCATCTAGCTTCTTTAAATTTGCCGTTTAAGCTTCTCTTGGGTGTATTTTTCTTATAAAACGTTTATAAAAGTAAAATTAATTGTTATAAAAGTAAAATTAATTACTTATAAATAGTAATTAATTATTTTTAATTACTTACTATTTGTTTTGATTTGATATTCTAAAAATCCCAGTTATTTTCTACATGGTAAATCACAATTATTTTCTTTATTATCTTTAGTTTTGAATAAAATTTTGAGTCATCAGAAAAACATTAAAAATAAAAAAAAAAACAAATTTTCAAAAATGTTATTGATTTTATGGATATCAAGTAAATAGATTAAAGGCATTTTTTTATGACATAAGCGTTTTACCATTTTTGTTTCAAGTCTTTCGGCTATTTGGGATAAAATATTTATATGAAAAAGACCTATATTAAATGACTGGATAGTCGCTTAATATTGTTCAATATATGATATAATTCAAAAAAATAAATAACGGAAGCAAAAACAAACGGAAACAAACGCTGAAACTAACATAACCTTAATTACACACGTTACTTTAACGTTAATTACACTCGTTATCTTAAAGTTAATTACATTAACGTTGATAAATTACATTAACGCATGATACTTTAACGTTAAATACAAACGTTTATTTAACGTTAATTAGACATGCTTTTTTAACGTTGGTTTCACTCGTTACTTTAACTAATATAGTGGTTAAATTTTGTTCTTCTAAAAAATTTTATCTATTCATCTGCAAAAAATATCTGCAGAAACTTATATATTTGTTTGAAAAAACTTGTTGCCAAGTTAAAGAGGTTTAATAAATAATCCAGAGTTTAAAAAAAATAATTAAAAAAACAATCAAGTTTTTATTTGCTATTTCTTTATGATTTAAACATTTTTCTTACTACCAATGGACTTTCTTGCCATGATTCGAAATTCCTTTGTTAAAATATCGTATAAGAATTAGACTTTTCCTAATATTGTATTAAATCGATCGAAATTATAATTCCTGTCTAACCGAAGCCAGTGGCTTCGGTTAGACAGGAATGATAATTTCGATCGATAATCCTTTTTTAATAAAATTTTAATTGTTGCAGTAGTTGGTGTTAAGTGATTGTTTAAAAGTTACAGATGTTTAACAAACAAACTATATACTTACACGACTCCACAACTACGCCCATCTAAATCGCTCCGCCACATTTTCTTGCAACTTTTATCTTTATTAATTTCAATTAATTGAAACTCTTATTAATTTAAATGCGCGTTTATAAATTTCTACAGGCCTTTTTTTGCTCTAAGTTGTATGTCAATTGTTTGCAATATTGCGTTTAATCATTTTCAATAGTTTTTAATTAGCTAGAACTTTTGATAAACTTATTTCATTGAATGCAATATTGCATACGATTGAATGTCGCGTTGTTATTAAAATTATTTTATACTAAAGATTCAAAGCACTTGTTTGTTGCGACTCGTGTTCCTCATGTGAAAAATTATTTTAAATTGGCGTTTCTACTAAGAATGTTTATTATCAAGTCAGTAAATCGGTAATAAAGGTAATTTACTGTTAAATGTTTTTGAGGTTATAGAGCAAAGCTATTATACAAATCAGAGAGGGTATTTTAAAAGTTTTCTTTTAAAATTGCTCTAGTTTAATGCATAGAAGAGGCAATATCACCTCAAACTCTGCAGTAGTAGACCCGCTTCCATCACGACCATTTACAGACTTGACATTTTTGCAACAAATAAAAATTATTTTGCATTTTTCTAAAACTCTTTTATTAGAAGGTAGCTATTTTGACTTGAAAGTTCTCATTGTAAATAAAAGAATTTTTTTTCATAACAACAGATAAGCGTGGGAGTAATAATTATTTAAATAATTCAAACAATCTATTAATTTATAGTCTTTTTACTTCTTTCTTTAACGTTTCGCAATGTCTCTTTATACCAATGTTTTATTTTAATTTTTAAGAAAAAGCGGAAATGTGTAAACGTTACGTTAAAGTCATGTTATTTAAAGTAATCAAGTAATTATGCGTCTGAAGTAAAAACTACATTAAAATGTCTCTAATTTTACTTATATTTATAAAAATTAGGTCATGCATGAACAACATTCAAAATTTTAATGCTATTGAGATAAATGCTTTTTTAAAGTATGAAAGTCACCCGACCATTCCATTTATAGAAACATTAGGTGCACTTAAGCTCATCTTTAGTTAAATGGAAATACTCATTTATTCAACATAATGCAAGGTTGATTTAAAATTCTTTAAAATTTTTACAATTAACAGAAGTAACATTTGTCATATATTTAAAACAATTTTTTTTTCTTTTTTTAATAAAGAAAACAATCATCAAGCTTTAACAACCAACTGGTATGTGTTTCCTTTTATTATGTTGTTTTTCAATGTGCAACTCTGCAACTATAAACAATAAGTATAAATGTTTTAAAATTATAAACAGTATAGTTAAAATACGTATAACTAAAAACTTTTGCTGAGGAGAAATTTTGTAAAAATTTCGTACAGTAAAAAATAAAAAAATATCCAGTTGTTAATTAAAAAATACATAATATTACGTTGTTAAAATTGTTAATGAGCGTTGTTAAAATTGTTAATGAGCGTTGTTAAAATTGTTAATGAGCGTTGTTAAAATTGTTAATGAGCGTTGTTAAAATTGTTAATGAGCGTTGTTAAAATTGTTAATGAGCGGACTTTTATGTCTAATATGCATGAAAATCTGTTTTTTAAGTATAATATTTTTGCTGGCACGGTTTATTAATCAATTACGATATTTTAAGATTGTTAATAGTTGTTTAGAATACACTTTTATTTTTAGCTTCTTGCAATTTTTCTACATTAAATATTACGTCTTAGCTATATTAAAATGGTCTTTTTAAACATTAAATAATCCCATTTTATTTGCTTCTATGAAATAAAGTATTATAAATATATAAATAAATTTGTTTTCATTTTTTTTTTAATTTTAACTAATTATAATGATAACACAAACTGAATTCTCTCTTTGCTTTGTTGTCATAAACAACAAAGCAAATAATTGCTTTTTCAGCGTAAAATCTACACTAATTAGGAGGAAACCGTGGTTCACTCCTACCCGTGAAGGAACAACTCATTCCTCCCCAAGCTGTGCAGCTGAAATAGAATATTTAATGCACCATAAGTTCGAGGTTTGTGCAAAAAATAAAAAATAATAAAAATGCTATAATAAAAATCTACAACAATATTGTAGTATCTTCATTTTTATTACTTTTGTATCTGATTCATGTTTTGTAGTTGACCTTCGGGCATTTGTTTTTGAAAGTTACGTTTTAAATGTCTTTTAAACGTTTTTCAAACGTTCTTTAAGTAAAAATGTCTAGAAGACGTTTAAAATACATTTAAAAGACATTTCGAACGTAACTCTTAAAAATAAATGCTTGCTGGGTGTGTAGGTCTTCTTAACATAAAGAAAACTTTAAAAGTTTGGAATAGACCTACTTCTGTGGGTAGGAATAAACGGATGATTTTAGAAACTATAGGGAGTTTGTTTTTTAAGGTAGACAATGCCGTCGAAAGGGAGGGGGGGCGAAAAGGACAGTTTGTCCCGGGCTGCAGATATTCAAAAAGGCACCAAATGAAAGCAAGGTACCTAAAACAAAACAAAAAAAACAGAAAAAAAAGGTTTTTCATCTATAATATAGGGAAATTTTGATAAATAAGGGCGCCAATCAGGGTCGCTTTCCCAGGCGGCGTGACGGCTTTTGACGGCCCTGAAGGTAGGATAAAATAAGTGTTTCCATTCAAGTAAATATGAGCTTGAGTGCACATAGTTTTTATATAATTGAAATGGTCGGGTGATTTTCACACTTTAAAAAAGCCTTTAAATCAATAGCATTAAAACTTTGGACGTTATTCATGGATGACCTAATTTTTAAAAGTATAAGAAAGTTAAAGACATATTTTGATGTGAACTTATACATTCTGATAGAAAACATTACATTCTGAAAGAAAAGTAAAAACACAAACAGATAGCAGATTTTTTGTGTAGTACCGTAACACTTTGTTATTTTAGCCAGCGGGGTTACTTTGACCATTTTAAAAAAAGTTTAATTAAACACTTGTGTCTTTTAAGCAGTTTTTAAAAAAAGTGAAACGTCACTTTACTGTTTAAAATAGTGAAACGTCACTTTAATGTTTAAAAGTTACAGATGTTTAATTAAAATTTTTTTAAATTTCCACACCTCGCTGGCCAAAGTAACCCCAAACTGTTACGGTAACCTTAAAGTGTTACGGTACTTCATATTTCAGATCAGTGCTGAAATATGACTTATTGTACACGAGTGAAAAAATATACGCACAAATTTTAAAAGTATTTTCTTAAAACAGTATTTATAACGCTTTTTTTTGGCTAACACTCTTTGTGACGCGTAAAATATATTTGCATTGTTGAATTAGTAATTTGCAACAGTGAATTAGTGAAAATACTGAAGTTTAACTTGCGGATTAATATTTAAACACAATGCCAATAATTTTGATCATCTTTGAATTAATAGAATTTATTTGAAGAAGCCGGATAAATTTATATTAAAAGAAATTCCTAATTAATTTGTTTTTTATCTACAAAATTTTCTATAGAAAAAAAGGTAATAAGAAATATTTTTTAAGCAATCGAATATTAGTTTTAACACATTTTATTTAAGTCAACTAAATCAAAGCAATACAATACTTAGTCATATAGTGGCAACTTTTATCAACTTCTCTTTACAGCTGTTTCAACGGAGAAAGGTTCTCAAAGGTTGAGAGATGCCTCCAATATTCATCCCCTGTAAATTTTGTTATCAACCTCATCTAAAAAGACCAAAATAATCTTATTTTTTATGGAGCCATAATATATAGAGATTATAAGTACATTTAGATGTGTATTTAAATCTTTATTATACATGGTCACAACTTCTAAACATTTTAAAACCATTTAATTTTATTTAAGCTATTTTTTACAAAAAACCATGATAAAATTTGAATTTATCAATAAGTTTTTTTATTGATAACTTATCATTAAACCTATCGATAAGTTTTGATTGAGTCTAAGAATACGCGTAATTTTTTTTGAATTGATTGTTCCCTTACACCCATCAAACTTAGGGTTAGGGAGAAATGTTGTAGTATTCTTGTTCCCAATCTTTACTATAGTATTTCTATAAAAAAAACCTCTTGCTCAATATATGAGAAGCCTAAATTCTGGTTTTAATCTTTATGGAAAAATTTGTAGATAACGTACGTGTGTCCTCATTTCGAATTCTCTGCCTCAAGTTGGAACCTACATATAGTTAAAGATATAAATATCTTAGAGAGATTCCAAAGACGCGCCACTAAGATAGTTCATAGTATAGAGTATCTACCTTATGAAAATAGACTATGCATTTTAGACCTGACCATGCTCAAAGAAAAATGTCATCGTGGAGACTTAATACAGCTTTTAAAAATCGAATCTAGCAAAGAAACTGTTAACTAACACCATACTCTGATCCGTTCTGCGCCTTGCCATTGCTATAGAAGTCGACTGGTCAAAGAAATAGTTCGATCCAATAATAATAGAAGGAACTTATTCACAAATCGAGCAACAACTGGAATTGCTTACCAAATAAAATTTTAAATGCTGAAAGTCTAAACGTCTTCAAAAACTAGTTTGACATGTTCTGAAAAACCACCACAGTGCCTTCATTTTTAACTTGAGAAAAATGTTCAACTGCGTTCGCAATTTTGACCATTTTTGACTCCCTTTTCCCACTTGTTACAACACTGTAACTTTTTAGTAACAAGTTGTCACGAAAGCACTAACCCCTTTCCCATCCCTAGAACGTAACGTACTTTATGACATTAAAATTACTTCATTTAGCAAATAGTTTAAAAAAAAGTTTCATAATAATACAAATAATACTTAATAGTTCGTATATAAAAATTTTCATTTTTATTTTAAATAAAGTTTTGAACATGAATTCATCAAAATATGTTACAGATTTTTTCAGTTTATAAGCATTTAACGTGCATACAAGGAGAAGGGTAAGGAACGGTTTTTTGGTAAAAAATTTGGTTTAAACATAACTAAACAATTTTAAAACCACCTTTAAATGTACTTAAAAGCTCTATACAAAGCTTCCATAAAAATATTTTTTTGCTCCTTCTAGACGATATTGATTGAGAATTGAGTGAGTATTAATACAAGATTAAACGTTTATGAAAAAACTATTAAATAAATATTTGATATCGACTTGTTATCAGAAAACGTTTTACAATTTTCCACCAAAGTTTGTAACATAAATCAGTTTATGTTACAAGTTAAAAACTTTTAAATTAAAAAATTTCAAGTCAAAATTTAAAAAGTTGAAGAATAATATAGTTCTCCGTGATATAATGTAATGCTCAACGATATTGAATTTGAAATGAAATAAGTTTTAAATGAAATAAGTTTTAAAGATCTTATAACAAACAAATTTTGAAAAAAAGTTTTTATTACTTTAAAAAATTCTATATTAAGAAATGGTTATCTCTATACAGCATTATATTTTTAATAGTTTTAAAATGATATTTTTCCATGATATAATTTTTATCTATTTGAATCTAAAAAATAAAAATAGTTTTTTATACTTAAATCAAAAAACCGTATCTAAGCATATAGTAGACTAATGCCATACTGTTAAGTATGGCATTAGTCTACTATATGCTTAGATGCGTTGAGTAAATATAACAATAAAACGATTTCAAAACGATTTTATAAAGTAAAAATTTGTATACCAAAATCATTAATTGATATTTACTCAACGCATCTAAGCATATAGTAGACTAATGCCATACTGTTAAGTATGGCATTAGTCTACTATATGCTTAGATGCGTTGAGTAAATATCAATTAATGATTTTGGTATACAAATTTTTACTTTATAAAATCGTTTAAGCATTAACAGAAGGCTGCTCCACCTTGTTTTGCAATCCATAATTAAAGACAGTTGTTTTCCAAATTCAGCCTTAATATATTTTTGTAAGATGTTCTTCTTAGTAGGTGATCGTCTAAATAGTATTATCAACTTGCGTACTTTTTTAATGACTGGCCCATAATGAACTTCATTTAGTTCAATTTTAGATCTTAAAGTTTCATGATTGTAGCCTAGTAAATCTTCCTCAATATCCACCTTCTCGGTTAAATCTCAGCCAAAAATTCATTTTCAAATTTTGGCTGATTTGCATCCAATTTTCTTTTTTTATAAAGAACATCAATTACGCCGTGGGCAAAACATAATTGTTGATTTGCAGTCAAAAACCTTCCAACTTTCTTCATAACACTAGCTCAGTCGGTCATTATACCCACAATGTCGCCGTGTAGATCAAGACAATGGTCTTTAAATTTTTTTTTCTAATAGTTCAATGCATTTTCTGCTAGCATTGATAAAACCTAAACTCTAAAACTGAGAATTTTTTTCCATGAACGTTAACAATCATATAGCTACGATATCGAAGTGACGTCCATTCGTCAAAAAACAAAGAAAATTTCTCTCCTACCCCGAAATCTGTACTCTTGAGCGCTTTAATTTGCTGAAGTAAACCTAATCTTACTTTTTTTGCTCTACTCTTCTACATGATTACGAATTGTTTTTACTGACGTTGGTAGATTTCTAAATCCCATAGCAGTTGAAGCGGCACGTAAATCTATTGAAGAACAAATCAACTATAGTTAATTTGTTCTTCAATAGATTACGTGCCGCAAAACTAAACAAATTTTGGTGGTTTATCTGCTGTGCTTTCTTCGTAAATATTAGGTTGGGTTGGACTTTCGATCTTCACATTATGCACCGACAGCATGTGTATATAAAGTCCTTTGTTGAACCACCACAGATTCTTCTTGTATTATAAAATCTTCTTGTATTTTGGCAATTTAAACATCGCTGTTTGCCCTTTCTCTTCTCGTAGAAAATATTTCCAAACAGTTGAGTTTATTTTAATTGTAAAATCCGCATACGTCATGCTTATTTAAGTTTTAATTTTAAGAGTAAACTTTGTAAGAAATGCGCGTTTTTTTTTTCAGTTTAAAAAAGTTTATTTTGTAGAATTACAGAACAGAATACTGAAAATAGAATTATTTTCTGCGATATTAAACTAAATAAAGATTATTATATTGATGGGCATAAATTGTTGTTATTTTTATATATTTTTTGATATCCCCTTTGTTTTGCTCGATCGTGTAAGGAATTCCGGGATTAATATTAGGCAATCCCGGGATTTCGGGATTATAAAAAAGGTCGGGATCCCGGGATTGCAAACCCTATGGTCGACCTTTTATGCTGATTCATTTTGCAAACTTGGTTAGTTGGTGATTCAACTAAATTATTTTTTTTAAAAACTGAATTAAGCCAAACCTGATTTCTACTGTCAAATGTTTTATTTTTTTTAATACAATGCACGCCATAGTGTAACATGCTTTGCGAGAATTAGTTTTAATCTTTCTCTAAATAAATCTTTTTTTATCAACTCTAACGGATATCTTTGTCCATAATATTTTTAAATCCACTATCTATGTTATCAAAATACTTTCAAAACCTGAAAAGTCTTTAATTGATTTCATCTATTTTTTTAGTTCACAACAATATACTTATATTTTATTCAAAGCTTGCAGCTTTTCGGTCAATCTGTCATCAAAAATGTAAGCTTTAGAATAACTTAATTTTAATCAATTACAAACTTTAAAACTTGAAATTAAACTAAAAAAATAAATTATTTCCTTTCAAAAACAACACAAAAATTAATTCAATTTAATTTGTCATACCTTATATTAGTTTTTTGTTTATTTTAATAATGAATGAAGAGTTTTTTTTTTTTTATTTGTTTAAAAGTTCATCATTTTTTTCAAAAAATCACGTTTTAAATTTTTTCAACAATTAAGAGTTGAAAAATCAAAAATCAAGATTTAAAAGATTGTCATTTTTGAAAAAATGATGATCTTTTAAAGCGCTCAAGATCAATGATGATTGCAGCCACACTTCACAGAGGTAGACACTACAGGTTAAAAAGTATCAATATATGGAAAAGATACAAACAGAAATATTTTTTAAATCCTCCATCAAAGTTGAATTTAGCATTTTTATGATGAGTTTTTTACTTTTAATGCATAAAAATTATAGTATCTAGTTTTTCACGCAATTTTTAACTTTTATTTTTAACAGTCTATATTACAATATTTTCAATGTATATACTGCCTATTTTCAATTGATCTATATATTAACAAAATGTGCAACAGGAATATTAGCGGTCCTAATATTGATTCCTGGCAAACACCACAAGATATAATACATTTTTCCGCTTCTTTTGCTGTATATTTTATGTCAATAGTGGGCAAATACCACTCTAATAGCCACATATGGCTCTTCGTTAAGCTAAATGTGGTTCGCCCTAAAAGTTAAAAAATTTATTTTTTCTTTTAATAATTTGAAACATTTTTTTAGTTTTCCAAATACTTATATATATATATATATATATATATATATATATATATATATATATATATATATATATATATATATATATATATATATATATATATATATATATATATATATATATATATATATATATATATATATGTATTTTTTGTATTGTTTTTTTAAGTATTATTCTGTGAAATCATTTAAATTGGAGCTATTAGAAATTAAAAAGATCAGACATTGCAGTTGCAGCATAAAACTTGTCAAAAATTGAATTTTGGAATCTCTTGTCAGAATTAGAACATCCGAACTGAAAAAAAGCTACTTACCGTCTCATTTTAATTTTTGCCAAAAATAGAAATGAAACGAAAAAGGGAGAGATGAAGAGGCTTATAGGAAAAGATTAAAAAATGAAGATAAAATAAAAACATCCAGAAATGTACTTTTTAAATCCTTTTTGCGGTGTATAATTAACATAAATAATTATCAGGCCCGTAGCAACCGAGGGGGGGAGGCAGCTGCAGGAGCATTCGCCCCTCCCCCAACCGCCAATAATTTTTCAAATAAACAATTTTGAAGAAATCGACTGAAAAAAAGACTAAAAAAATAAAAAAAGTTTTCAAAACTATTTCGGGGTAGTGCTGCCCCCCCCCCCTCAATATCATTTTTGTTTCTACGGGCCCGATTATGATCATGATAAAATAGAATATTTTTACTTAAAGTTAAAACTTATATAGTTTATTTAAAGATAAAATAGTAAGATTTTATTAGTTTTTTTTTTATTTAGCATTATTTATAGCTTGTGAATATAAAAACAATTATAAACTATAATTGCGAGGCGACGCCTCCCAGTGCAATGTCATAAACACAATTAAAGCTACTAACACGGTCAGATATGTATGGTAAGATTGCTGTTATAATTTTTCTCATTTCAACACGTGTATGTTAAAACCTGTTTGAGTTTATAAAAATATAATTTTAGAAATGCCCGTAGGGGATACGTAAAAAATTATAAATTCATAAAATGAATTTGATAAAACAAAAATTAGTAACACTCATATTATTATTACCAGTCATATGATTCATATGAATAAAATTTGTAAATCTCCTTGCGGGGTTATGCTTCCCCTAGTTACGCCACTGAGATTTTACTAAAAATATTCAATCGATTTCAGTTCATTTTGAAGGCATACAGATTATTTATAAAATAAGTAGTATGCTAAAATCATTAATTTTTAATCGTAATAAGTTACTCAATGATTTAAAAAATATTATTCAGGAAGTTGTTTGTGGAGTTTGAAGGCAAAGGGAAAGAGACCTATTTCGAAAAGGCTTGCAGGAGGATCGAAAGTTTGAAGCTTCATCCACTGGTTCATAACTTTTACTTCAATTTATAAATAATATCATTTTGGTTTGTAACCAACAAAAATGTACATTACTTATATTTACATTTCATGTTATGTAAACTGATTTTGCACTATAACTTAAGGAATGTACCTTTAATAACAAAGCGTCACGATGATTTGTTATTAAACTTTGTTTTCTTCGCGGAACTGTTGCTGAAGTTTTCGCCATGCGGCGTGACAATTAATAATATTTTAATTAACATTTTATGGCGTTTAAATATCTATTTGGAATCTCTAGAAAGTTTTAAAAATAATATTTTTAGAATATTTGTATATTTTATAAAATTAATATTTTTAGAATAATTGTAATCAAACTTTAAATTTTAATAAAACTTAAAAATTTGAACATAATTAAAAACCATGTTATCTCTAATGTTTTAAGTGTATGTTTGTTTTAGAAACTTCAAGTTTTTAACTTTTTTTTCAAGTTTGAGTTTCAACATACTAAATAAAGTTGCTGCTGTGTATTTAAAAGAATCGTTTATTCTAAATAAATTTTATAAATAATATTGAATGATCAACTTATGTTTTTAAAATAGTCTTTAAATGTAAAATTATCTCGAAGAGTAATCATTATTATTTTGATTTTTGACAAATTTATTAGGTAGTGAAATATCAAAACAATCAAAAAATGACTTTGTACGAAAAAAGCTCGTCTAACTTTTCAGATGAAGGTTCACAAATGCTTTCAACGGAAGAAATTGAAATGATGGATGTACATGATTATGCAAACCCACAAGAACTTAAAAAAAGTTTAGAAAAAGTTGATGGAGTTAAAAAAAAAAATTTGGTTTATGAACCACTACCACCAAGAAACAAGACTAATGGGTTTGCTAAAACTGCATGCTCTCCTTCCTCTTATGAGGAAAAGTTACTTTTGCAAAATAAGAAAAGTTTTATGAAAGAAAGATTACAAAGATTTCTAATTGTTGTAATAATACTTATGTCTCTTGGTTCTTTCACTTTATCTGTGCTAACAACTTTTGGTGTAACACAAGCAAGTTGTAACAAGTGTGTAAAAGGTTACATTTTTATATTATATTAGAGTGATACTATACATTTGAATGAGATGTTTTATACTCTAAAATCACGCTAAATTACTTCAATTTTTTAAAAAAGAAGAACCCAAAATGCTTTATTTTTTGTCAATCCTTAAAAACAAGTTTAAAAATTTAATTTTTTAGTTGAAAATATTTTTAACTAAAAAACCTAGTTCTTTTCAAAAAAATAAAAAAAAAACTTTGATTTTTTTGAGGAAAAAATAATCTTTTTAAAACTTTTAAGCATGTTTTGTTAACAGGCAGGTTTACAATTTAAATTTACAAATCTGTATATAAATTTAAATTAAACATTACTACATTAAAATTTATTTATTTGCATTTTTATCTATAGTAGCATGGTGCTAAAAAATATAAATGATAATTACAGGAATTGATTACATAAATTTATAAAACTGTAAATTATTAGTAGAGACTATAGTGGTAATAAACATGGTAGATTATAAAAAGTTATGTTGTTAACAAGAAAAATATGTATAAAATAATGTCATGACTCAAATAAAAAAAGTAAATGAACTAAAATTAAAGAGATAAAAGTTAAGCTTAGAGTTATTAAAAGAAGTGTATAAATCATACTTAAAGGTTCTCCATTATCTATAATGTAGAAAGACTGTGTGCTTGTTGGTGAGACTGCAAAACCTTGTATCCGCATTTTTTTTTACCTTAATGAAGTTTTTTTAATAAATGGAAAATTTTAATATTGTTGTAGCTGTTTGTAGAAGTTTATAACCATAAATATAATGCACATTAAAATTTTACAGATGTTCTGTACACAACCTCTATTTTCGCTAGTCATTTAATTGAGTGTTTTGATTGCGATACATGTGCTACTTTAAGTGATATTGTTATAATATCATTTGTTTCCATGTTCATAAATATCTTGTTAAGTACTTTTATAGTTCAATTTATTAAATAGTCAACAATTTTGTTAAATTAATTTCAAGTTATAATAACCTTGCAAAGTAAGGTGTTAGTTAAAACTTTCTTTTTTTTGTCTGTTTGTTTGTGATTCATTTGAAAAAATAGATGAATAATAAATAAAACACAAATAATTTATTTACAAGTAAATATAAAGATTTAAATTGAATTTTAAAAATGTCATTAAAAATCATTGCAATATTCAGTTACACATAACCAACATATAATCAAGCATTCTCGGGAAGTGCATGCAGTCATACACTTTGTTCGTCCATGCTTAAAGAAATTTTTTCAGACAAATTGAATACATTTTTATATAATAAGTGTTTTAAGAGTTTGCAGCAAAATAAAACTATAAGAAACTTGAGAGAATAAAACAGTAATACTCGAAAAAATGAAACAAAGACTATATGAAATAGAAAATCTGAATAAAATAAGTTAAAAAAAAATTAAACATTAAAAATAACATAATAATAAAAAATTATAAACCTAAATATTTTACTGTTTTCGTTTTCTTATTTTTAGGGCGTTTGTTATTTTCTACTATTAAAAATGATAAAAGTCAAAAAAAAAAAAAGCAGATAAGAATAAACAAAAATTTGAATTTTAAAAAACATCATTAAAGAGTTTAATATATAATTAAATAAAAACTTCTATTATGGATGTAACTCTTTTTTTTTGAGTTAATTTTTATACAATATTTCAAGGGAGTATAGATACCTTCATTGTCAAGTATAATATATATATATATATATATATATATATATATATATATATATATATATATATATATATATATATATATATATATATGATGATATCATACTGAAATAGCCTGCTGCGGGGCTGCGAGCATGATGACATCATACTGAAATAGTCTGCTCCGGGGGCTTCAGTACATATATCGACTGACAAATAACCTGACTCGCAGTGGAGTGCTGCTACATTGACTGAGGGTTTGGTATGGGTCAGCAACCTTTTCATTCATTATTCTTCGTTTTCCCTCATCGTTTTCTAAAAGCGCTCACTTAATTTAGACTAGCAAAAAAAGTGAGCAATTGCGCATATAAATATGCTATAGTAGATATTATATATATATATATATATATATATATATATATATATATATATATATATATATATATATATATATATATATATATACATAAATATATATATATACATAAATATATATATATAAAAAACCATTAAAAAAAATACAAAAACAAAATAAAAACAAAGCAATGCAAAATTCTTCTGATTCAAATATTGAAACGTAGGTTTCCAAAAGGAAATTGTGATGTAACCGCTGTCTGAAGGTGCGCTTTTATGGTGTTGTATTTCAAGAGCTTTTCACACTGAAATACATACAAAGGAAAATGAGATTATTCAGCAATGCTATCGCCATTGCTGAATAATCCCATTTTCCTTTGTAACGTAGGTTTGTAACGTAGGTTTGTAACGTAGTTAATGGCGATAGCATTGCTGAATAATCTCATTTTCCTTTGTATGTATTTTTCTGATGTTGGTAAATGTGAGATAAGATTTTTAATTTTGTTTCACCGATATAACATTTTATGCAGGAGCATTCAATTTTGTACATACATGGGTAAGAATTTATAGGAAGAGGTTTATTTTTTGTGGTAAGTATATGTTGTAAATTTTTTGGTGATTTAAAGACTGTTGTGTAACCGGATTTTTTGAAAACTTTTTTTTAACTTTAGGCTTATTCTTGGAATCCGCAGTAAAATATTTTTTGATGAAATTGTATTTTGTTTTTTATTATGTAAATTTTCTATAATGGTTTTATAATATTTTCCAGGTTTGTTTTTTTTAAACCATTTTTTTCAAAAACATTAGCTAGAAATAATAACTCAATTTCAATATTATTATCAGAACATAAATATAATGCCCTATGAACGATTCCTTTGAAAACTCCGTTTTCAGTTGAATGCTCCTGCAAAAAATGTTATATCAGTGAAACAAAATTAAAAATCTCACCTCGCATTTACCAACATCAGAAAAATACATAAGAAGGATATATATATATATATATATATATATATATATATATATATATATATATATATTATATATATATATATATATATATATATATATATATATATATATATATATATATATATATATATATATATATATATTATACTTGTCAACAAGGGTATCTATACTTCCTTGAAATATTGTATAAAAATTAACTAAAAAAATAAAGAGTTATATCCATAATAGAAGTTTTTATTTAATTAATAATATAACAGAAAAAAAACATTTTTTGATATAAAATTTTTTCGGGACTTTTCAGTCAGGAAATATTTTAGAAACTCAGGATATACTCTAGAAAATATTGACAATTTATTTTTCAAATTGTTTTGCAAAATTGTACTACTTTTATCAATGCACAAGAAAATAAGAAAACTAATTGCTATTTATTTGTAAAAAAACTTTTTTTTTTTTCAACAAATAAAATGTTATTAATGTTTATATTTAAATATAAAATGTTTGGTTGGTTCCACTACCACCATGGAAATAGCCTGCACTTTGGTTGGATTATCCATATTGTGCATTTAAAATTTTAAATTGTTTATTTCCTTATGAACTATTGTTATTGATGATGTTCCAAAAGCTTGTTGGCTAGTGCATTGTTAATTTACTAAACTTTTAAACATAATTTTTAGGAACCTATTTAAAACTTTTTTTTAAGTTTTTAAATACATTTTTCAATTAGAGCAATCATTATGTTTATTGTTTCTAGTAGTTCGTATTAACGTTATATATTAGGCAATATAAAAGAAGCAATTTCAGACATGCATCAAATGCGGTAAATACACAATAAATATGCGACAAAAGAAATTGCTATTTTTTCATTTAATTTGTTTCTTCATTATAAAATTTATTAATCAAATTTTATATTTTACTAATAAATTTATTTTCTTATTTTCCTATTATATAAGTATTAAGAAAAAATGTCAAATACAGCAAAAGCATTTTTAAAAGTATTCGGTAAAATGTGAACTGCAAACCTGTAAAATACCAACATTTTTGCAAACCAAGACATTATATTTTAATGACCACTACAGTTATGATATTTAAAAAAACTTTTGCTTGTCAATTTTTTAATTTAAATTAAATATGTAATTTGATATTTAAACATGTATTTGATATTTAAATATGTATTTTGATATTTAAATTAGATTGTATTTCTTTTAAATTTAATATAATTTATGTTACTGCTTGAAGTCCATAAAATATATAGTAAAATAAACAATTTAAGGGTAAATTAAAAATAAAAAATATTACATCATAAACAACCAATAGAACTATGGTTCGCAAAAAAGTTTTCATTTTAACAACTCACAGTTTGCAGTTCGCATTTTACCGTCTACCATTTTTAAAAGCGAAAAGACATCAAAACGAATAAAAGTAAGAAAAAAAATTAACAAAATTTCTCTTAGTTGAAGCCTACATAGCAAATTAGTTTCTTAATTATGCGGACTGATAAAAATCATGAATATCATATCAATTGTTGTTAAATTTTTATAAAAGATTGTATGCTTTTTTTAATTAACTTGTATCAAATTGGGTAGCTAAAAACAACAACCACTCTTAAAAAAGAATGCAAAAGTTGTATAAAAATTTAAAAAAAAAAATTTAATTTTTTTTTAACTATTATTAAATTTTCTAATTTTATTTAATTATAAATTTATTTAATTAAAACTTGATGTTTTGTTACAATTTTGTTTTTCTTTTTTTAAGAATGTTTTTTTCTCAGTAGATAAGTTAAGCTTTTTGCTGCAAATTATTGAAACGCCTTATAAGTAAAGATACAAACTGCCGTGATCAGTGTTTCTAAAAAAATTACTTTAGGCGTTGATGAACAACGCGTGCAACCTCATGCGCTTCCCGGGAAGGCTTGTATACTTGTTACAATAATCTACAATAAATGATCTTCTGCGAGTTTCCATCATGACAACATTTGTTGTTGATGTAATCAAATGTATGTTTGTACCTTTTGAAGTAGGCATTTT